AATATAATGGAAATCATATATTTATTTTTTTCGAATTATATATTTCTATATTTTTTTCATTTATATATAGAATAATTATTTACGAATCAATAAGAAAATTAATATAAATATTTAAAATATTTATTTATTCATTTTTAATTAGCTCATATTATAAAGAATATAACTAGCGGGTATAGAGTTCAGATTATTTATTCAAATATCTATCAATTAAATTAATACGATCATCTACCTTCATATAATTTTCAAGAAAAATATATTCATCTCTTTTCATTATTCTTCTCAAACGTATCCCTCCATCTTTAATTTATAATACAAATATATATATCCGTAGACCATCTCGTAAAAATTGAATATAATTTGAATCCATCATATTATCTATATGCCACGACACTCCCGAAAATTAAATTATTTATCTCCACTTGCCGCACCTCATACGCGAAAATCTGCACGACATATCTTCCCCCCCCCATGCCGCAACGACAACTTCTACAGACCCTCCCCCATTACTCGACGGTCCTCTTCGATTCGCCCTCCGACCCGCCTTCATTCTCCTCGCCACCACAACACTCGCACCCCCACCCCACCATAGTGCGACGCACATTTATCACTCTATAATACTACTACCAGAGTACGAATAACCTCGCCCGCCTCTCGACGATACGCCCCTCGACCCACCCTCGCCCACCACTCCCGACACAAAGGCCCCACCCGCCACTCCGCGAAATTTCCCTCGACCCTCCCCCTCCGCGACACTCCCCACGACACTCCTGCGCTCGCCCACCACTTCGCGACCCTCCCCACGAGACACATGCACACTTCCCTCACCCACACTGCCGCGACATACCCCGACACTGCCCGACACGCCCTCGCCCGCCACTCCACGACGCTCCCCGAGACACGCACACGCCCTCGCCCGCAACTTGTGTTTCCACACTCCGGTCTGTAGCTGCGAAGTCCAGTGGGTCCATGCGACAGTGCGACAGACACGGCAAGTCTTCAAGGTACATTATATATAGATACGCGGCATATCCCAAGTGTCCAACCACTCACTATAATATTGAAAATTAATAATATCCAATCTTTGTCGAAGTTGCTTAATGAAATAAAGGCTAGAATATAAACCAAATATAAAGCTTGAAGGCCATCTATACGAAGACTCTCAATATCCGAATACTCCGGAATAAAGCAAGATACCCTAATCATCCTTAATCTCTAGAAAATATATCGTAATACGAAATAGGCAATTTCCACAATTCTATGCGGCACTTTATAATGCATTTGCTACGAAACTCATAAAAACTCTCGTAGATTTCGTATTAAATTCGCCTCTTTAATAAAAAGGCACATAGCCACAAGCTTATCCATATATAAATCCGAAATCAGACGAAATATATAATAATTTATGGAAAAAAAAATTAAGCTTCAATAATAATGAAGCATAAATATATAATAACTAGATTATAAATTAGGTGGCCTAATAAATATTTATAAAATAAATATCATAAAGAAAATTTCAAATTTTCCAAAATTACCACCTAGATTATGGGATAAGTGATAAGCTATCAATATTGTCCTTCTAATATTAAATGAAAATTTCATCTTTCTGAAAAATTAGACATATAAAATCTTGAAAATATCCAATTTTATATTTTGATTAGACAATTAATTAGGATAACAATATTTTGTGATCAACCATGCAACCAATTTTTCAGTAGATCGTTTCTGTAAGTACGAGCTCTACAGTGTCCGGACGAAACTAGTGCTTCTTGGCACAGCCGTCTACTGCATACGGTTCTCCGTCATTGGAGCAGGGAGATACACTCGCTGTTCCCTCATAGCCCTCAGCGCATTCGGCACTTACGTCGAAGTTGCTCGTTGACAAGGAGGTTTCTGTGATCTTGTAGGCTATAGCATCTTCCACTGCGACACATAACATAGGCTTCGCACAGCCAGATAAAGTGTATGCATCTGCATTCGCAGAGCAAACCGTCACCACAGCTGTACCCACATACCCCTTGGCACATTCTGCCGTTACGTCAAACTTACTCGCTGCAAGATGGGCTTCTGTGACTGCATAGCCCGTAGCATCCGCAGGAGCCGTGCACATCTTCTCCTTCTTGCAGCCAGACAGAGAGTATGGATTTCCATCTGAAGAGCAAGCTGCCACAGCGGCTGTGCCAAAATATCCATCTGCACACTCTGCTGTCACATCGAACCTGCTCTCTGAAAGCGTGTTCTCGGTGACTGTGTAGCCTGTAGCATCTGCTGGAGCAAAGCAGAGCTTGTCCTTCTTGCAGCCGGACAGCATGTATGGCTCTGCGTCAGCAGGGCATGCTGCCACGGCGGCAGTTCCGACATAGCCGGATGAACACTTTACCGTCACGTCAAATCTGCTTTCGGAAAGCACGGTTTCTGTGACGTCATAGCCTGATGCATCCGCAGGAGCACTGCAGATCTTTTCCTTCTCACAGCCGGACAAGGTGTATGCTTCTCCATCCGAGGAGCATGCCGTCACAAGAGCAGTGCCTACATAGCCAGATGCACATTGCACGGTCACATCAAACTTGCTTGCCTGCAGAACGACTTCCGTTAAGGCATAACCGGTAGCATCAGCCGGAGCTGAGCAGATATTGTCCCTCTCACATCCCGACAGTGTGTACGCTTCTGCATCCGCGGTGCAGGCTGTAGCAACGGCAGTTCCGACATAGCCATCTGCACATTCTGCCGTCACGTCAAACTTGCTTCCTGCAAGATGGGCCTCCGTAACTGTGTAACCTCTCGCCTCTGCAGGAGCAGAGCACATCTTGTCTTTCTCGCATCCCGACAGGCTGTATGCTGCTCCATCCTCAGAACATGCATCAACGACAGCAGTGCCCAAATACCCAGCGGCACAGGCTGCTGTCACATCAAATTTGCTTTCTGAAAGGACGGTCTCTGTGACATCGTAGCCGGCTGCGTCTGCAGGCGCACTGCATATCTTGGCCTTCTCACAGCCGGACAAGGTGTATGCTTCTCCGTCCGAAGAGCATGCAGTCACAGCGGCTGTGCCCACATAGCCGACGGCACATTGCACTGTCACATCAAACTTGCTTGCCTGCAGAACGACTTCCGTTAAGGCATAACCGGTAGCATCAGCCGGAGCTGAGCAGATATTGTCCCTCTCACATCCCGACAGTGTGTACGCTGCTGCATCCGCAGTGCAGGCTGTGGCAACGGCAGTTCCGAGATAGCCATCTGCACATTCTGCCGTCACGTCAAACTTGCTTCCTGCAAGATGGGCCTCCGTAACTGTGTAACCTCTCGCCTCTGCAGGAGCAGTGCACATCTTGTCTTTCTCGCATCCCGACAGGCTGTATGCTGCTCCATCCTCAGAACATGCATCAACGACAGCAGTGCCCAAATACCCAGCGGCACAGGCTGCTGTCACATCAAATTTGCTTTCTGAAAGGACGGTCTCTGTGACATCGTAGCCTGCTGCATCTGCAGGCGCACTGCATATCTTGTCCTTCTCGCAGCCTGACAGCACATACTCTTCTGCATCCGAAGAGCATGCTGCTACGGCCGCAGTGCCCAAGTAACCAGCAGCACATTCTGCTTTCACATCGAAACTTTCGGCTTTAAGATCAATCTCCGAGATAGCATAGCCTGTCGAGTCCGACGGAGCAACGCACACCACTGTCTTTTCGCAACCGGAGAGTATAAAGCGATCACCATCTGACGTGCACGGCTCTGCTGATGCTTTTCCCTCAAACCCGACAGCGCACTCCACTTGCACGTCGAACTTGCTAAGACTGAGATGGGTCTCTGTGACGATGTAACCTGTTGCATCCTCCGGAGCCGCGCACACCGGGTCCAACTTACATCCAGTGATCTCATAGCTTTCTCCGTCGTTCGTGCAAGCAGTCACCGTTGCCTGTCCGACGTAGCCCTTTGCACAGACAGCACTGACGTCAAAGGAGCTTTTGTGAAGCTTGGACTCGGTCACACTGTATGCTTCGAGACCCTCGGGAGCAACACAAACGGGATCCAAATCACAGCCGGACAGTGAGTAAGTGTCCCCGTCAAAGGTGCACGCTTGTACTGCGGCAGTCCCCGTGTAGCCTGCCGCGCACGCGACCTTCACGTCGAAAGTGCTGATTCGCAAGCTTGTCTCTTCGATTGTATAGCCGTTGGTTGATGCCTTATGCCGTGGCTCACACAAGACAAACAGCACCTCAACACCCGGCTTAGCTTACCAACCGGTGCCACGCAGTGGCGGAAGGGCTGGCAGCCACTGAGGGTGTACGTGTCGTCCGTCTTGGTGCATGCTTCGACCTCAGGCGGCCAGGACACTCCGGCGACACAAATGGGAAAACTCGCAAAGTCTGCGGTGCCTTGGCTGACCCAGTAAAGCCAGCTGCACACTTCGCTGTCACATCGAAGGACTGCATAACAAGACTCCTCTCGTCGACATCGTAACCTGCTTCGTCTTGGAATGCGGGGTCTGACGACAAGATGCAAAAGAGTAAGTTGACATGGAAAATGCGTTGCATCTGCCGCAGCAAGCGTGACTTCGACATAAGCAGGAAACCTTTCTCTTTTTGTCAACATGGGAAGAAGGAGCCAACCTTTCTCGAAATTATTCTGCAGATCGCGCATTCCTTCGGAGGGTTTACAAAAATTATGTCAGAGTTGTCAGAGGTCGCCTCACAAGACTCCCCGGGACGAGCTTCCCCTCGAGTTCTGGTGGTGACGGAGCTTCCCTCTCGATCGGATGTTCCTATGACAAAGCCGTCTGGACTCGCGCCGATTCTTGGTGATGCTTCTTCGGCTTGGTGCCGCCCTTCTCCTTGCATTCGACGGATGCTTTTTTGCATTTTCTCATGCGGTGTGAACACTGGCCTTCTTTACGGCTCTGGTGTCCTAAGTTGCGTTCCCCATACACCAGGACCTGTTATTGGTGCCGGGTCGCTGTTTCGGTGCACCGAACTGCAGATGGGGACAAGGCTCATTCTTTGGAGGTCCTTGTGCCTCTGGTTGCGATCATGGTGTGCCATGTCCTTCTTGCTGCTCCATGTGTTCGTGTCCTCCGAACAAAACGAGAGCATGTTTGTCCTCTGCTTGTCAAGTTCATGTTGCTGTCAGGGATGGTTGGAGCCTCCCGACGGGCTGCTTCTAATCGACTTCCGCTCAGCACCCGTCGCTGGTTGGCTTGAGAACCGGCGGCGACATGGCAGCAAGCCGGGCCTTGCTTTGTTGAGGCTCGGCAGAAAACCTTCTTCTCACAGCCACTCAGCTTGTAGACAGTGTCCGCTTTTGTGCAAGCAACCACAGAGGCGATCCCAATGTACCTTGGGTGTCGAGGCACGCGCCATGCGTAGGTCTGCCTTCGTCGGAAGAACCATATCGACATAGCCACACTACAAGGGGCTCCCCTAGATGCAACATGCATTGCTGCCCCAAGCACTCGTCCGAACAGGCAACTGTGACCTTGAACTCTTCCTGTTGCAACTGATGCTCAGTGACGAGATAGCCTGTCAAGTCGCGTGCGTGGATACACAAATCTTCTTTGTGACAGCCTCTGAAAGGGGCACAAAGAAAGTCCCGACCTGTAGTGTCAGGTGGCGCTGTGCACACCAGCACGGTTGTGGTCGTCGTAGTGGAAGTCGTGGTAATGGTTGTAGTAGTGGTGAATGTGGACGTGCTCGTAGTTGTAGTAGTGGTCGACGTGGTGGTTGTGGTGGTCGTCGTGATCGTGGATGTCGTGGTAGTGGTGATTGTAGTCGTCGTCGTAGCTGTCGTTGTGGACGTAGTGGTTGTGGTGGTAGATGTCGAAGTAGTGGTGGTCGTAGTTGATGTGCTTGTTGTGGTCGTCGTGGTTGTTGTTTTGGTAGTTGTTGATGTGGTTGTGGAAGTGGTAGTGGTGGTCGTGATTGTGGACGTAATTGTGGATGTAGTGGTAGTTGTACTAGTGCTGGTTGTTGTCGTAGTGGTACTTGTGGTGGTTGACGTGGTCGTGGTACTAGTCGTGGTCACTGTTGTGGTAGATGTTGACGTGGTCGTGGTTGTAGTGCTTGTTTTCGTGATGGTCGTTGTAGACGTAGTTGTGCTTGTGGTTGTAGTTGTTGTGCTGGTCACTGTTGTTGTGACGGTGGTGGTAGTCGTGCTCGTTGTAGTAGTCGTTGTGCTTGTGCTGGTCGTGGTGGTTGTTGTGGTGGTGCTGGTAGTTGTGGTGGTGCTTGTAGTGGTGATAGTAGTGGTGCTCGTTGTTGTTATGGTCGTAGTGCTGGTCGACGTTGTGGTTTGCGTGACTGTCGTTGTCGTCGTGGATGTCGTGGTCGTAGTTACAGTTGTCGTGGTCGTGGAAGTTGTCGTTTCGGTCGTGGTCGAAGTCGTTGTAAGAGTTGTTGTTGTGGTTGATGTCGTCGTTGTCGTTGATGTGGTGGTAGTGGAGGTGATTGTCGTGGTAGTGGTCGATGTGACTGTTGTGGTGGTGGTGCTTGTGCTCGTCGTGGTTGTAGTGGCTGTCGTAGTTGAGGTAGTGGTAGTGGTCACCGTTGTGGTAGAGGTAGTTGTTGAGGTTGTCGTTGTTGTTGTGCTGGTACTTGTACTTGTGGTCGTAGTGGTCGTCGTGATTGTGGAAGTCGACGTGGTTGTGGTCGTTGTGGACGTACTTGTGATGGTAGTCGTACTAGTAGTTGTTGTGGTTGTGGTCGAAGTTGATGTCAGTGTCGATGTAGTCGTGATGGTCGATGTTGTGGTGGTGGTTGTCGTCGAGGTACTAGTGGTTGTGGTGGTCATGGTTGTAGTCGAGGTTGTCGTGGTCGTCGTTGTGGTTGTACTGGTCGTTGTCTTGGTCGTGGTGGTTGTGAAGGTCTGAGCGGCGACACTTCGAAGCGAAATCTTCTCTCACTCACTTTAAGGGAGCTACAGGATTGCACATATTCACCCACCCACCCACCTACCCGCCGACCGGCTAGCTGAGTCACTCCTCCTCGCTGGCTCAGCCACTCACTCTCTCTCTCTCTCTCTTCTTCTTCCCTCGGGCATAGAGGGCTGTTAAGGCCCTCCGGGCTCTAGGCCCCCCCCTTGGAAGGGCGTGAAAACTCGGAGTGGAAAGTCACCAAAGTTCATAACCTTGATGCCTGCATCACTCACCGTCTCTCTCTCTCTCTCTCTCTCACACACACAAAGACACACGCGCACGCAAGCACGCACGCACACATGCCCACACGCCCGCCTGAACACATGCACGACAAACCGTGTGCAGACATGTATTATCATGCGTGCGTGAAAATCTTTGCATGCGGACATGTATGTTCGTCTGTCTGTGTGTCTATGTGTTTGCGTGCATGTGCGTGGGCATGCGCAAGGTTCTTGAAGTCTTCGCCTACAAACAACAAAAGCACAAACAAACAAACAAACACACACGCACGCACGCACGCACGCACGCACGCACGCACGCACGCACGCACGCCCGCCCGCCC